TGTTTACTAACAGTTATTAGATACTTTTATGAAACCGTTATTATTTTATACAACAGGTATTTCTTTGGCCTCTTTTGAAGTGACTAGTGAAATTGGCCAAACTACTTCTGTTTATTGATATTAACTTATTGGTAACACATTGAATAATAAAGTTTAATTTGTTAAAGGGATAGTTCACTTTGAAATTAATTTTTGATATGTTTTAGCTTACCTCAAGGGCATCCAAGATGTAGGTGTCTTTGTTTCCGCAGTATTTTCAATTTTGATATTTTTAAGTCAAACCGTTCTTGTCTGTCAGTCATATAATGGAGGTATATGGGGCCCTCCTCAAAGAGTATGCAAAGAAGTCCAAATTAAACATGATTTAATGACTCGTAAATGTAAGTACAAATTGATGGCCTTTGACACGAAACGAGCGGTTTGTGTGAGAAAACGAACAGTATTTATATTGTTTTTACCTCTTGTCACAGTCACGTCCAAGCACTCTGAGGGCGCGGGCGCTTCGGTCTGCGCTCGTTGCATTGATACACGTTGCATTGATACACATTGATAAGCGTTCGTTTCATGTCTTAGGCCATCAATGTGTACTTACATTTACGAGTCATTAAATCATGTTTAATTTGGACTTCTCTGTGCATGCTCTTTGAGGTGGACCCCATAGGTCTCCATTATATGACTGACAGACAAGAACGGTTTGACCTAAAAATATCAAAATTGAAAATACTGTGGAAAAAAGACACCAACATCTTGGATGCCCTTGAGGTAAGCTAAAACATATCAAAAATTAATTTCAAAGTGAACTATCCCTTTAATATGAGTTAATTGCATTAGTTTGTATAATTATACTTATATATAGAACTGTTGTAAAGTTGTGCTTGTGAACTATTTCTTAGATAAGTAAAACTAGATGATGAAAGGAAAAAAGCAAGGTAGAAACAAAGTAACAAAAAAAGCCAATTATTAAAAATAATTAAACACAAACACTCACTTTTTTAGCAAGAGTGGTGAAGTTTTGATCTGCAAATCGGATCACATCACCCACTTTGAATATTGGACAATACATGTTACTCTCAAAGTCAAAGTTACATTTCTTTATGTAGCTACTATTGATATTGGGCAAAAAGTTTCCCCTAAAAGGAAAAGAGAAATATTTAATGAAATCCATAACCACTGGTAGATTGAAAAAGAATGATAATGATGAGATTTTTCAGTCTTTGAGTTTAATTCCATTTACTTTGTGAAGTTAAACCGTGGGAAGCGAATGCTGTTCTTGATAAAAATGGTAAAGCTCTCCACCTCCATCATGGGGTCTCTTAATAAGAAAAAAAACTCTATCAGTCCTTGTATATTCAACATTTACACATCTATTAATTTCTTTATTTAAAAGTGGACTCACGGTTGAATTTCATCAATCTCTGCAGGACACCATCCTCTGATCTCACAGGTTTTATGGGCAGTATTGAAGTTCACACATCGTCCTGTCAGCAACCCTTCGAGATACAACCAATAGATCAAAACATAACATACTGTAAAATTTGTTAGAATGTTTGTAGTTTATTGGTTTTTCCTTGATCATCACAAGATAAAAAAACAAACCACAATGAAACACTCAAACTGTTAAACTGTCAAACATTTTGTCCCTTAAAACTCATCTTTAACAATCACAATGACATATTTTAACGTTTTTCCTGTACAAATAATTTCTTCATGCCTTGAAATGTAACTCATTTAACATACTCAAGAGCACCCTCAGTTGATACTGTAATATCATATTGACGAAATAGATTCAGGAAATGCTCACAGACATGTTTGTATTGAACGCAGTAGCCAATCAGGGGCATCTAATTTAGTCAGAATTCACTCACCGGTTTAAACACTAGCGTTTTGGTTCGGCACTGAGTTTTGCACGCTCGTAAATCCTCTCAAGTGTACGCATGATGTAAATAAGAGATTCAATATGCAAGACAACTTTATTGATCGGAACTTTGTGAAATTGTAAACTGAGATGAGTGACAGGATTTTAGTGATTATAAAGGGATTATAAGGGGGTTTTTGCGTGCTTTCTAGTCTATATAATCCATTCAGAATTTTAATAAAAGTTGACACACAACGGTAACTGATATGTTTAGCCCATTGGCTTAACTACATTTTTGTGGCAAGCAGGGCAGGGCAGGGCCGAGAGCCATGAGAAAACGGCACAAGGCCGGTGGCATGATTTAGAATGAGTATCTGTAAGGCTTTTACTTTCGTTTCGTGTTTGGTTATTGATGAAACTGTTTAAATGTTGTTACAGTTATCAAACAGCTAATAATGTGTTGCTAACACAAACCATGTGCCCGTTCGCCATCTCAGAGTCAGACAGCTGACTTCTAACAATCAGCATCCCTAGAAATAATAGGTGTTGGACTTGAAGCGAATTCTTAAAAAATCTCACAGTTATGAGTTGAACCAATTTTGACTTTATTCTCTCTTTTCTCGTTTCCGTCTGCTCTCTAATTAGGGACTTTAAGCAACAGTTGCTAATGTAACGGCAACGGCAGCCGGAAGTAAAAGGGCTATCTGCTCTAGCTAAAGAACGCAAAAATCACTAAGCAACAGTAAACCATATGTGGCATAGGGATAATTTGATCATTTGATAAAATACAAACAAAGTAATTTATCTTAAAGCATATTAAAAACACCACATGGACATATAAACATTAAAAATCCTTTATTTCCTTTATTATTATTTATTGTACAAAAATGATATATGATCCTTCAATAAAAAATATTTATCTCACAAAGGATATAAAGAACATTAGAATTTTACCATTGCTTGATGGTTTTGACATCAGCTTCTTACAAGTACTGTCATTGTCACATTTGAATTTCATCTCACTCTAAAGAGTTACATAGACAAACACATGAACACACACACAGACAAGAATCAATGAAATTAGTGTACATTAACCTTGACAGATTTTAGTATTTCAAAAAACCCTCTAACGTAATTCATAGCCCACTTACCTCTGGACAGTTTCCTTGAACTTGGTTCTCTGTCGTGATGAGCTTTGTTATGATGCAGAAAACTGACGCCCCCTAGTGGACACATGCATACACAGACATTGTGTAAAAAAGACTGTATAATAAATTGCTATTGTTTTTATTTTCAAGTACTATAAGCTTTTTTAGAATTTGAAATAGTATAAAGAATTTACTATATTTATTAGATTTTTCATCCCCAACAATGTTCTCGGAACTATGTCCACCGTTCTGGTAAGGTTCTCTCAAAGTTATGAGCAAGTATTCTTTCAGTAATGTTAAAGGTTGTATCAGCGATTTCGGGTCCAAACATAAATAATCACATTCACCGATCCACTAGCTGCCCGTCCCATAAGCATGCCGTCCAAAAAGGCGCGTCTCTGTAGGCAGCCTTGGGCCTGAAATTGCTGATAAAACCTTTAATATAAACAGTATTATGGATAACCAGTCCATTCAGAGTTATCAGTCACCCTAAAACGAGTCACCTACTCGCCCTGGTGTTGATCTAATAATGGCCTATGCTTTGTTTTTCGGACCACAAAAGGCAATTTTGTTTTTAAAACGACCCACCCGCGCTTGTCAATAACGTCTTGAAACTTGTGACAATAAATATTTGTATCTTGGGAATGTTTGTTTCGGGAATGTTGTCTTCACTGGCACTGCACTGGCTGATTCGGCTCTGCTCGCTCTCCCACGCACGGATCCGATCCACATTTGAATTCTCACACCAACGGCTTTCGTACAGTTTTTTGGACGTAGCAGGTCTTGGTTAGCCAGCACAGTTTTTAACTTTGACTTGATAGATTGACTGAGCACAATTAAATATGTTTGTGAATATAAATTATTAATTTTGAATAAAGACCTCAAGCTATGATTAGCACAATTCATCAAAAGCATCTTTTTGTATTGGGATAATTATTTGGAAGTCATTCATTAAGCCAATATTGTCAGCTTCCACATAATGGCAGTGAATTATGAAAGTTTCTAGTTACAGAAGTAAGTTTCCGCTACAGAATAAAACATAAAAAAGGTAATTGCGACTTTTTGTATAATAATTCAGACTTTTTTCTCATAATTGCGTAAGTC